GCATTCTGAGTGCCTTCTCACCTTCCAGTCCTGTATCTGACAGTGTTTCTCTGCTATTCATAGAGTTTTCAGTGACTAGCGATTTGTAAGTTAAAGGAGAATAACCATATGATCCTAGAGATCTGCATGCGAGAAAATATTTTATTCCTGAAAGAAGTCATGAGTTTATATAAATAAAGTTACAAAATTGCAATGTCAAATATAGAAACACTATACTTTAGAAGGGAGATTAGGTCATAAATCTAATAATTTCTCCACTACTATTCTAATATATTTTTTATTTTTCCTTTTTTGAGGTGGGAAGAACCATGCTATCTATACATGATCTAGAACTGGGTACAATAATTTTCGTTTTTATGAAAAAAAGTTTCAGAATTCCCAAGCAGAGTATCAAAAAGAAGACTGGGCATAAGAGGAGCAGCTGGCACTGCCTGAATCTCACTATATACAGCAAACTAATATAATCAATTAAACATGAGTGGAACAGATTATATAAATATATCAAATCATATGCCTTAATAGTAGTAGTTCAACTCAGTTTAAAAAAATAGTTATTAACTAAAAGAGTCATAGCACAACTAGTATTCATCTTTTTAAGAAAAAATGATCTTCACATATGATACCATACATAATACTAACTTCAGATGAATTAAATTTTATAGAAGAACATCTAAGCAATTACATAAACAAACACAGATGTTCTGAAAGTCTACAGACCTTCAGATGGTGGGGAACTTTTTTTTTTTTACTTCTAACTAAAATTTAGCATTTCCTTCCATTGCAAATGTAGGTAAAAACTCCCAGGAGTATTACCAATACATGCATGTGACTCTATCAGAATCAGAAACCAGATATTTTCATATCACAGTGTAGTTATTGTAGGTATTTTAAAACAGAGTTAATGCTCCTCACTACTTTAATATCACTGTGTCTGATAGACGACGATTCATTAGGTCTTGTCTTATATGTACTGATAAAGGAATATGCAATTTAAAAAATTTCGATAACTTATTCTACAATTCCATGTATTTTCATTTATGCTTTTATAAACTTCCTCAATAGGGTTTCACAGACATCATCAGATAGCCAATGGGGTCCACTGCACCAGGAACTTAAGGAATCCTTAATTTAGGTACATACTGACAGTACTTCTCAAATTTTAATGTGAGTGTGACGGTACAGTAGTCACATCCTCATGTGACTTAAAATTCAATGCCTCTGTCTTACTAGTTACATGGGTTGTTGTTGTTGTTAAGTGTCGTTGAGTCAGTTCCAACTCATAGTGATGCTGATAGGGTTTCCAAGGAGCCACAAATAGTTTTATGTAACTTTTCTGCCATGCTTTCACAGTTCACCAAATGTTCTCATAGATAACCTGTACAAATATATTAACAAGTGGGCAGGAAAAGGGACACACAAAAAAGCTTTCAATCTCTCATCAGAGAGGACCCATTTTCTATGGAAACCATGTCCATTCATGTAAGTTGAGCACTTTCCTGAACGTACCTGTGTATCAAAGACATTATTCAGCAAAATTCCATACTGGTGAGAGAGACAGTCAGAAAGCCAACGGCAGTCGTGGATAACCTAAGGAATTCAAAGATGGGGACAAAATAATTAGGACCTGACTACTAATCTCACTAGGAGAGGAATCAGCTCATACACTCACCTTCAAAATTCTCTTGTCTTCTAATACCATCTGAAGTCCATTGTTGAAGGCACGACTTCCCAGAAGGAAAATGTCAAATAAGTAAACACGGCTATTTGTGGCCACCTATAATAGACCATAAGAGGCTCTGGTAGCATAGTGGTTACTAGTTGGGCTGTTAACCTCATGGTCAGCAGTTCAAAACTACCAGTCGTTCCTTGGAAGATGAAGCTTTCTATTCTCGTAAAGATTTACAGCTTCGGAAACACTATGCAGGGACACTATGAGTCAGAATAGACTCCACGGCATACCACCACCACCACAATAGACCATGGAGACACACGTACTGTAAGACAAGAACTGGAGAAAGACACTGAATAGTTTTCACTTGTCTAGACAGGTCTGGTAAAAAGAGATGGGGATAAGATTCTTATGATATAATAGTGAGCAATTGTTATCATGACTAATTGCGACTGTCACAACTGTAAAGGTAGAAGTTTTGTAACAAAAACGGGGGAGCAGTTAATCTTACAATCCAGAAACACAGGACCCTAGGACCATCAAGAGAGAAGAGCACAAGCAGAATGTGTGGCCTTATCCAGAGAAGCAGCGATACCAGAGATGGAGGCAGAGATGAGGGCAAGGAGAAAGGGAACAGCTGAGGACTCTAGACTCATGGGATGAGAGGGACTGAGTGCTGGTGGCCAGGAGGCAGGCTTGCACAATGTGCCCTTTGGTTGTTTAAATTATTATATATTCCTGAGTGGTTTTGTGTACATCTCCCAACCCTACCCCCAACCAAGAAAGAAAAACAGAGGGTAATATAAGCAAATACTGTTGAATGATGATGCATAGAGGAGATTGTAATCATTGCAATGTAACGATGGTGTAAAGCCAATGCTCTCCCATGTAAACTATCACTCAGTTCATAAAAAAAAAAAAAAGAACTGGGGAAAGAGATCTGAGGATAAAGAATAAAAGACATGTGGCAAGCATGCCTAACACTCTGCAGACTTTTTTATTTCAACAGTGTTTGGATGGAACAGACCTGGGAATTGCCAACTCCAGTCTCCAACGACCGTCCAATTTCATCTCCATGCACAACCTTTTGCCATTCCATTTTCAGGACCATCCAACATCATATTTTGTGGTTAACTCTTAGTTTCAACCAACCATGAGCTCCTAGATCTGTCAGAATTATTGGCTGGTTAAGTTGTCATCAACTGCCTGGTCAACCTGTACCTGCAGGCTTCCTACACCTGCCTCTTTCAGGGCTTCTATTTCAACCACAAGTATGTGGCCCTAGAAGGTCCTTCAAGTGCAAGGGTGCCCAGCATCCATCTCTTGAAAACACAAAACCAGAACTCTGCCACGCTCTCTTCTAAGACAGGTAAAACTGCCCAGGATGAGTGGAGTAACACCCTATATGTCATGGAGGCTGCTATAGTCCTGAAGAAGAACCTGAACCAGGCCCTTCTGGATCTGCATGCTGTGGGTTCTACCTACAGAGAACTCCATCTTTGTGACCATCTGACAAGCCATTTCCTTGATGAGAAGGTGAAACTCATCAAGGAGATAGGCACCCACCTGAGCAACCTCAGCAGGCTGGCCAGCTGGGCTGGATCAGTATCTCTTCAAAAGGCTCACCCTCAAGTACAACGAGTAGGAGCTTCCAGCAACCTTGGAAGGGTCCCTTGGCGTTCCTCTAACATCAGGCTTCTGCCACAGCATCTCCCCCTCCAGGCTACAGGCAGCTTTTTAAGCAGCCTCAAGTCCTCTCCCAAATCAAGAAAGTAGTAACAAAAAAGTTTCTTTTTATAGATAAAATATCTCTATAAATGCAACAAAATATTAAGTATCCTTACTTTTAAAGTAAAAAATAGGAACACAACATTCTTATGGAAAATAGGTCTAAACTGATACTAAGTTAAAAAGACACAATCACTGATTTCAAGACAAAAATTAAAAAAACTAGTGATTGCCACTTCTGCTTTTTTTTATATATATAGCTTTTTTATGAATTAAGTAATAGTTTACATGGGACAACATTGGTTTTGCATTCAACCAATCTATTTTGTTTCAATCCCTTACGTGCACTATCAGCTAACAGTATTTGTCTCTATTCCCTCTTTTGTTTTTTGGAGGTTTTTTTTAAAATAACCAATGGGCACATTCTGCAAGCCAACCTCCTGCCCGACAGCACATAGCCTTTCTCTTTCCATGAGTCTGGAGTCGTCTGCTCTATCTATCCATGCCATCAGCTCTACCTCCATCTCTGGTGTCACTGCTTCTCTGGTTAGGATCCCACATTTCACTCATGCTCTTCTCACTTGATGGTCCTAGGATCTTCTGTTCCCGGAATGTATGATTAGCTGCTCGCCACTTTTTTTTTTTTTTTTAATTTAAGGTTTTTATTGTGGATTGAGTGAAAGTTTACAGGGCACATCATCAGTTTCA